ACAAAACAACCACAGAAAAATTTGGTTAGTAATACACGACGAGCCAGTATAACGCAGACATGTTTAAAATATTGTTTGTTACGAAAACGATAACGGTACTTTAAGAGCGCGAAAAATGTGTTAAATTGATGTAAGATTAGCCTGGTTTTATTTCAGTTTCGGAATATGATGTTATTTGATTAAGGTTCAAGTCTTTCTCCTTGGAAATAGATATGTCAATACCTTCATTGCACTGTTTCCCTCCATACCCCTTACGGCAGTCACATCTATATCCCTTATCGGTAAACCCTACTTGACAGGAGGCATATTTCCCCGGACAAGGTTTGCAATGGCAAGCATTCTGAATTTAAAGAACAAAAACAAAAAAAACAAAAACAAAAAAGAAAGAAAGAAATTCAAGTTAGTGATAAAATTACAGGGATTCGAGCGTTCCATTTTAAAATATTTTCCAATTGACATTGAAAAAGCAGCTTGAGATAATTGAATTGAACAGCAGGAAAGAAAGTGTTCAGTTATAAAATATTTTCATATTATCGAAGCCAGTTTGATCGTGATGCCCTTTCACATTGTTTTGCCTAATTCCTCGTTAGTCTTTAATTGCTCACACCCAAGAGAGATGATGGGAAGGATCAAGAATGGCAGAGTTTATCACCCATACAGCCCTTTTTCCCACGGTAATATCTCTCAAGTTATTTCTGGATCACTCCCAGGAGGGTCCAGGTATAGACAATCCTGTGACATAACACGGATTTTGTTAACGAACGTAGACAGACCAAGCACCCAAGTGTAAGCTGGTGGGAAGATACACTTCCGTGTCATGCAAAGGATATCAATTCAGTCTCATCTAGTTATAATTATACCTCAACAGCATGGTGAGTATAAAGTTCCCTCTCCGCCAACGCAAGATGAGATGCACTTTCATCTGTGTCATTGTTCAACTCACAAATGTGTGATCCTTTATCTAAGGGTCCCACATTGACTGANTATTAAGATACGGTCATATTCCGTATCGGACACTGCAGAATATAATGCAGAATATAAGTTACCACGCTTTTGAACTCTCCACCCATGTACATCTCAGTAGGAACCCATGTTTCCTGTGTGACCGTCTAAAGCATCCATGTAAAATCCAGTGATGAAAGAGTCTAAATAGCTTGAAGAAACCAGTCAACCGTGTGGTTTTCTAAACCATTATTGATCAAAATTGAAACATTAATCATAGTTCATCGACGCATACACCTCACAGATGGGGCAGTCTCCATGAAATGCGTTTACGTACTCCGGCACGACTTCAATGAAATTGAATCTGATGGACATCATGTCTATTCGTCTGGTGAGTCTATTTAGAGGGAATCATCCCGGTTTTTTCTCTATTTGGATTTGTTGGGGGAGCTTACAGAATTTCAAAATGTTTTCTAATCA